CACGGTCCCATCGTCCCCCAATCTTCACTTTTATATCACTGGTCCATGACTCAACAGCTCTACGCGAAATCTGAGATCTCACCGTATGCCGTTTCCATGGCAACGCATCCCACGCCGTAAAACACGAAGTTGTCTTAAGTCAATGGAAAAGCTTCCAAACGGCACCAGACTTCAGATGACAGTTAATGCTCCGGCCCTCAACAGCTCTACGTGAAATCTGAGATCTCACCATATGCCGTTTCCATGGCAACGCATCCCACGCCGTAAAACACGATGTTGTCTTAATTAAATGGAAAAGGTTCAAAACGGCACCAGACTTCAGATGACAGTTAATGGTCCGGCCCATATGACAAAAGTCAGTTTTCCTCAAAAGCTGTTGCCATGCCAACCAATCCCTCGCCATAAAACACCGTGTCGCCGTAAATCCAATGGACACGGTCACATCGTCCCCCAATCTTCACTTTTATATCACTGGTCCATGACTCAACAGCTCTACGCAAAATCTGAGATCTCACCGTATGCCGTTTCCATGGCAACGCATTCCTCGCCATAAAACACGGTGTCGCTGTAAATCCAAAGGACACGGTCCCATCGTCCCCCAATCTTCACTTTTATATCACTGGTCCATGACTCAACAGCTCTACGCAAAATCTGAGATCTCACCGTATGCCGTTTCCATGGCAACGCATCCCACGCCGTAAAACACGATGTTGTCTTAATTCAATGGGAAATGGTCCAAACTGCACCAGACTTCAGATCATGGCTACTAGTCCGGCCCTCGACAGCACTATGTCAATTATGGGGTGTCATCATATGCTGTTTCCATGGCAACGCATCCCTCACCAAAAAACACGAAGTTGTCTTAAGTCAATGGAAAAGCTTCAAAACTGCACCAGACTTCAGATGACAGTTAATGGTCCGGCCCTCAACAGGTCTACGTGAAATCTGAGATCTCACCGTATGCCGTTTCCATGGCAACGGATCCCTCGCCGTAAAACACAATGTTGTCTTAAGTCAATGGAAAATGGTCCAAACTGCACCAGACTTCAGATGACGGCTACAAGTCCGCCCCTCAACAGCACTATGCCAATTATGGGATGTCATCATATGCCGTTTCCATGGCAACGCATCCTTCGCCATAAAACACAATGTTGTCTTAAGTCAATGGAAAATGGTCCAAACTGCACCAGACTTCAGATGACGGCTACAAGTCCGCCCCTCAACAGCACTATGCCAATTATGGGATGTCATCATATGCCGTTTCCATGGCAACGCATCCTTCGCCATAAAACACAATGTTGTCTTAAGTCAATGGAAAAGCTTCCAAACTGCACCAGACTTCAGATGACAGTCAATGGTCCGGCCCTCAACAGCTCTAGGTGAAATCTGAGATCTCACCGTATGCCGTTTCCATGGCAACGCATCACTCGCCGTAAAACACGATGTTGTCTTAAGTCAATGGAAAATGATCCAAACTGCACCAGACTTCAGATGACAGTTAATGGTCCGGCCCTCAACAGCACTATGCAAATTATGGGATGTCATCATATGCCGTTTCTATGGCAACGAATCACTCGCCGTAAAACACAATGTTGTCTTAAGTCAATGGAAAAAGCTTCCAAACTGCACCAGACTTCAGATGACAGTTAATGGTCCGGCCCTCAACAGCTCTACGCGTATTCTGGGATGTCACCATATGCCGTTGCCATGGCAACGCATCCCTCACCAAAAAACACAATGTTGTCTTAACTCAATGGAAAAGGTTCCAAACTGCACCAGACTTCAGATGACAGTTAATGGTCCGGCCCTCAACAGCTCGAGACACCTACACACACACCTCGACGTGCGGACAACAGCCTGCGGAGCGTCGAAGACCCGCTCAACGCTGCTTGCAGCTTTAATTATTATTCTGATTATTATTTTAATCTTTCGCGCGCACTTTTGACCCCCGCCACATATGTGAAAACTCAACAAATTTTGCACGTGCGTCAGAAGTGCTGCAACTTGAGATGTGTAATTGGTCCCGGAACTTAACGTCAAAAATTGCGTAGGCCACGCCCACTTCCGTTTTTAACGTTAACTCCCCCTACTTTAACTTTCACGTAACCGAACGAAACTCGCTAAGCCTATCTAAGGTGCAAAGACAAACAAAAAAGCCTCTTGGAGGGGTATAAAATAACGTACAGGAAGTCGGCCATTTTGAATTTGGCGTCGAAAAAGGCGTCAAAAAACGCCATTTATCGCGTTTTTCGTCATCCGCGCAAAATCTATCTTCTCCCAGGGACTTTATCCGTACGACTCGAAATTCGTCGGGTAGCATCTCGAGACATGGGCAATTAAAAGTTATCACGGAAGTTTTTTTCTTTCGCACGGCGCAGCCGTTATTTGGCGCCAAAGTTCGCGTTCGCTCGATGCTAGGCCCATCAAACGCCATGGCCATGGAATACGATGATGTCATAACACCAACTGACATGCTCACAACGCCACCAAACATCACAATGTTGTCTTAAGTCAATGGAAAATGGTCCAATCTACACCAGACTTCAGATGACAGTTAATGGTCCGGCCCTCAACACATTAATATGACAAAAGTGAGTTTTCCTCAAAAGCTGTTGCCATGGCAACGAATCCCTCGCCATAAAACACGGTGTCGCTGTAAATCCAATGGACACGGTCCCATCGTCCCCCAACCTTCACTTTTATATCACTGGTCCATGACTCAACAGCTCTACGCGAAATCTGAGATATCACCGTATGCCGTTTCCATGGCAACGCATCCCACGCCGTAAAACACGGTGTCGCTGTAAATCCAATCGACACGGTCCCATCGTCCCCCAATCTTCACTTTTATATTACTGGTCCATGACTCAACAGCTCTACGTGAAATTTGAGATCTCACCGTATGCCGTTTCCATGGCAACGCATTCCTCGCCATAAAACACGGTGTCGCTGTAAATCCAATGGACACGGTCCCATCGTCCCCCAATCTTCACTTTTATATTACTGGTACATGACTCAACAGCTCTACGTGAAATCTGAGATCTCACCGTATGCCGTTTCCATGGCAACGAATCACTCGCCATAAAACACGATGTTGTCTTAAGTCAATGGAAAAGCTTCCAAACTGCACCAGACTTCAGATGACAGTTAATGGTCCGGCCCTCAACAGCTCTACGTGAAATCTGAGATCTCACCGTATGCCATTTCCATGGCAACGCATCCCTCACCAAAAAACACGAAGTTGTCTTAAGTCAATGGAAAATGGTCCAAACTGCACCAGACTTCAGATGACGACTACTAGTCCGCCCCTCAACAGCTCTACGCCAATTCTGGGATGTCATCATATGCCGTTGCCATGGCGATAGATCACTCGCCATCAAACACAATGTTTACTGTATGATACTGCTGTAACTCCCATTTACGTTGTCCGATCGGCCTGAAACTTCCCACGTTTGCCAACGGCCGAGTCCGGAAAACTCCTGCATGATACCTCGACGTGCGGACAACAGCCTGCGGAGCGTCGAAGACCCGCTCAACGCTGCTTGCAGCTTTAATTTATTTTTATTTTTATTATCATACATTTTACCTCCTTGTGTCTATTAACCTGTTACAATTTAATATGTTGCTGCATGTACCTGTAAAGTTCTTAACAAATAATCTGAGGGGAATTTCTTGTTGTTCATTTTTAAAGGTCACCTATTGTGCAAAATCCACTTTTTCATGTCTCTTCTACATCAACATGTGTCCCCTCTGTGGAAAAAGACTCTGAAAGTTTCAGGGAAAAAGATTCGCTCACTTTTTGTCCTGATCCATTTATATAAATACCTGTCTGAAAATAAGCTGATCAGATTTTGTCCACTTTATGATTTCATAACGATGTTTTGTCTTGTGTAACCATTAGCCAATCACCAACCAAGGTAACCCCCCCCCACCTTATCACCTGAATCTCCTCCAAGAGCACCATTGTGTTCTTTTTAACCAAATATCTCTCAGAGGGGCGTGGGGAGGGGCTCCTTATTTTCATCTAATGGCGCGTTTCCACTACAGCGCGGAGCATGGTTTAAGAGGGCTGTGACGTCAGCGGCCCGTTTTTGGTTGCGTTTCCACTTGGCCTAGTACCGGCTGGCGGGTCCTAATTCACAGTTTTTCTGGCCTCATAAAATCGCGGGTCTAGGGCCAGAGACAACGAGGCTGAGTCGGGCTGAGTATGCTAAACTAGAGAGAGCATTGCTGGCAAGGGGGCTACAACTACAACAAGATGGACATATTTGACCGTGATTTAATTGTAATACACGTTTCAAAATGATGCCGAAGTAACAACATACTGATACCGGTTAGTAAAAACCATGAATTAATGCTTTGTCAAGTCTGCAGACAGACGGCAGGCGAAAAACCTTTTAAAATGCGTGTTTTCTAAATGGAGATTGGCTAAGCTAACGCAGTATATGCTCCGACCGTCCACACTCACAACAACGGCCTATACAGACATAAATAAAGCAGCGACTGTATTCACCATGACACAGGCAGTCTGTGGTTTGTACTTGTTTAACTTTTGTCTAGTTTCTGAACATATATGAGGAGCTGTGAGCTCTGAGTGCTAACAGCTAACGGCTGTGTTGTTTTTCTGGGGTTCTCATTGAAGATGACGTCACGGCTCCACCTACACTGCGTTACTATAGATACTACCCCAGTTCCTAAACTGTAATGGAAATGCGCCATAAGTAACAGACAGAGAATCAGCACTTTTGAAACAGGGCTGAAACAGAGGGGATTATGGGTAATGCTGCAATGATCTGTTTGGTGTTTGGAGCCAAACACTTCAGTGACATGTTTTGTATATATCTGAGACCTATAATATATTGATGAAAAACAGTATAATAGGGGACCTTTAACTTGTGATGTGTCATTTTGTAAAAGCACTTTGAGCTGCATGTGTTGTAGGAAAAGTGCTATATAAATAAAGCTTTATTATTATTATTATTATTATTATGATTCTGTAGGGTTGTTCTGTCCTGGAGAACATTTCAAAAGGCTCCACGGCCCTGATGATCCTGGGAGATTCCCTGGTCCCCTCCCAGCTCTACCAGGTGAAGGTGAGGTCTCTGGTGGTCCCTAATCTCTACCAGGGAGTCCCCTCTGAGTGGAGCCCCCCTGCGGACTGGACCTCACATAAGGGTACTTTACAACATGCATACAAATACTGTCCACATGTGTATGAAACCTACACACAGTAACAGATTACACCTGCTCTTATAAGAATTAGTTTGTTATCTATTGTGTTATTTAGCGTAATAACCAGAAAATGGTCATAGTAGCAGTGGTGGAATGTAATGAAATGCATAATACTTCATAAAAGTACTGTAATTAATGACTAGAGTTTTTTATTTTGTGCTACTTTATATTTTATCTCCCTTATATTTTACTTTTTACTCCACGTATTTTCCATTTATTTGACAGCTTTTATTATTTGTTACTTTACACCGAGATTTTTAGATAATGAAAAAGACAATTCAATGACATATAATTACAAGTAAAGATATCCAGCAGCAAAATAAAAAGTAATTCAAATTAGCTCCACCTATACCAGCTAATTATTAAAGGGGACCATCATGCAAAATGCACTTTTGAATGTCTTTTATACATAAATATGTGTCCCCGGTGTGTCGGGGAACTCGCGCAGCGTCAGAAAATAAAACCCTCTCTCTTTTCCTCCGTACCCAAATCTCTAAAAACGGGGCTACAACGGAGCTGATTCAGATTTGCGTCCGATATGACGTTATATCGGAAATGTGGGCTGGCTTTACACCCACGGCCCTATCAGAAACGTTGCTATCAGAAACAATGCCCGACTGTTTTGGACGTAATATGGTCGGTGTTTACATTAGCATCGCTAACACTCAGAGCTAACCTGTACTGGAGAGCATGTGTGTGAAGAAGCAGGAAATAAAAAGGAACTCACCTTGTGGTATAACCGGCAAGAGAGAAAGCCTTTGAGCTCCATACTGTTTCAGAAAGAATCCTTGATAATCCATGATATGGCGTTTCATCACGGCAGTATTTAGTTTAGACAGTAGCTGCCGGGTCCTGCATGAGCACATGTTTTTTATATATTTTTATATATCTGAGACCTATGCTAATGCCTAAAAATAGCATGATAGGTGACCTTTAATAGGTAGTTTGATAGATATCATTCTAAAATGGGCCATAAAGCATAACAGACCTTTTTATTTGTAACTTAATCATACTACTTAATATATTTGTACATTTACTTTAGTAAGATTTTAAAATGCAGGGCTTTTACCTGTCACAGAGTATTTTCTTATACAGTACATACCATAAATAATCATTACTATCATCATTCATTTTCTGTCCCGTCACAGCCACCTTGTCCGTAACAAAACTGATCTACATCACCGTCAGTGTGTTTGTGACCGCAGTCGTCCTCGGACTCTACTTCAGCATACCAGCTTGCCAAAGGTACTTTATTTATTTCAAGAAAGTTCACGTCTAAAAACATTGAAATATAAAGCTTAAGCCCTCATTACCTTGTACTTACAAATGTTCGGAAATACATATCTTTGTTAGACGTCAAAGTAGCAGACTGATCCACTTAAAAGGCTTACATGTAATTTACTGGCAAAGAAAATGTTTAATAAATCACAATTATTATTTCAAATGTGGTATATTTCGTACCAACAGGAGGGTGATTCTGTGGGTGGACTCAGTTCCCTCTCCGGCCAAAAGCAAAATCTTGTCCGAGATTAAAGTAAGTCTGGATATTTATACAGTTCAACTTTATTATTTCCATTTCCGATTTGTCTGTTTTTGCACATGTGTTAGTATGTTAACTTATAACGCAGGGGTGTCCAAACTATGGCCCGGGGGCCAAATGCAGCCCGCGGACCATTTTGAAGAATCGGCCCTCAGCAAATAAAAAAAGTATAATGACTTAAGTATAATAAACTTCTGCTTGTCTTATATTGTACTTCTTAAATATATTACACAGTATTCATGTGTTAATAAGCCCAATTTTCAAATAAATTCAGTCCATTGAAGTTGAAAACATATTCTAACAAATCTAAGTTGATGAGAAAAAAGCCCAATAACTTATTTACATAACAACCTTGAAATATACCCTTCATATTTCCTCTTATGATAAGCAATCTGAAGCTTCTGTTTTAAGGAATGAGCTGCCAACTAAATAAATGAAACCCTCTGGAGAGCTGGGATATAGGCTGTTTTTTTTTTGCATTTTCAAGTATCAGAAATAATTTACCTACATTGGATTGATTTTTCCAACTTATAACTGAACTTATGACGCAATATACCTCTAGTGAGTGGCCCAGCCCTTCGTATATTTTTCTGTACAGTATGTGGCCCTCGGTGAAAAAGTTTGGACACCCCTGATATAACGTGTATATTACGTCTTTTGTCCTCCAGGCTGCCACCACCTTCATGCAGAATGAGAGCGCCACCATGTGCAGAGTGCTGAGTTTGGACAGTGAATATACATGGTAATTCGTCATAGACAGACAGATACAAAAACTCTCTCAAGTGTTGACTGTCATCAAATATTCAAATCAAGACTCCGAAATTATTCGGCAGACATGGGTATACCTAGCTGCTGTTGTGTTTTTTGTTTTTTCGGTCATTGTGCCATTGGATTAACTTAACAATAGATTAAAAAAAAGATGATATAATGATAATGATAATAACAGTAATGATAATAGTTATAATTATGAATACTATAATAATAAATGGGTGTATGTATGTATATGTGTACATATGTATGTGTATGTATATATAGAATTTTGTTTATCTGAGTGAGTATTTAATTACGGAATTATCATTTTTTTCTTTATCTGGATGTATAAACTATATAACATGTCTTTCTATCATGCAAGAAAAGATGGGGAATGTGTGGAATCTTACCGTTATAATCCAGGAATGAGAGTAGATATTTCTGACTCTCTTTTTCTCTGCAGCTCTTCAGATGCTCTGCTGTGGCCGACTAAGGACACGGAGAAGAAGCGCCTGCAGGATGAACACAGCTGGAAGTGTGATGACCTTCCCCCGCCCAACGAGAAGGTCAGCGGCTCGGACACATCCTCCATGAACTTCAGCGGGCCGTACATCTTCTGCCAGGTCAGTGACTCTCAGTCCGTGTCCTGCCTCAGGTGTACAGGTGCTGAGAAGTTCCCAAGTACTCGGTGTGAATCAAAAACACCAAAGACATTTAACTTGAACATTTTAGGTTCAATAAATCCAAGCTGCTGTGTTTTATAAGCTGCAATACTGTAAAATAAACATAATGTCTCCCCAAAATCAATGCATATATTTAATGACATTTTAAGACATCTCTGATTTTTAATGACATACACGCGTAAATGCAGATGAACACCTGAACACAACAGCCTTAAAAGAAGAGTTTGACATTTTGGGTAATACAAAATACTAGCCCCAAGTTCAATGACAAGATTTCATTAACAAAACAAGTGTGCGGTAGTAGGAAGTCGCTGTTTCATGACAAGAAGAAAAGTATCACATAATCCTGACAGAACGACAACGTGACGTTTTACACTTCTCACAAATTCAAAAAAAAAATAGGGAAATTAGAGCATTTACTGTATAGCAATTCAAAGATCAGCAAGTTTAGGTTTCCAAATACATATTAGTCATTCAATTGCAGTCATTAAGTGTCTTACTGATCATCATTGTTTCTATCTGACAGTCATCAGAGTCCGAGAGCACGTCAATGGCTGTCAAATGTGAAGAGAAAGAGCAAGAAGCCCCAACAGAAGACTCTGCCTCTCCTTCCCCGCTGAACTTTGCTCTTTTTGGGGAAGGCTACGTTTGTCTGCCCAACCGCAACGTCTCCAGGTCCACACAGGACCTCGTATCTCACAGCAGTGCAAACACAAACAGCGCCGAGCAGAACCAACAGAGTCCAGTTGAGATGGACGTCCAGTTGGGCCTTAACGAGCCAATCAGCAGCCCCCAAACTCCAGCCTTCACTTCCTGGCCTGAAGGGGGCGCCATGCAGGCCTCGGGGTACTGCCACCTCCCAGGAGCAAAGTGACCTGAAGGAGGACTTAAAAGGCTTTTTCAGCTAAATAAATGTAAAGCTTTCCACCTTATGTTAAGCTTCAAGTGCCTCCATGTGAAAAATGCATCATCTGTATTAACAAATGGGGTTTTACACAAGAGAAGGGAACCATTTTGTTTGGTTTTATGTCTTATCTCACCCTGAAATCAGGGTTGTTGTCTGACCAATGGAGGGCAGTAGTGAGCTGAGCCTGGGAGGGCAGTGCAAGGAAATGTAAAGGATGGACTTCAGTATTACCAACAACATATATCTATCTTTATGAGCTTTCTTTCCTCACAAGTCAGAATGACATAACAACAGCACCTTACAATGTAATATAATACAACAGCTCTGCTTAAAAGGCTACTTATGAAGTTCTGATTGTTTCATTTAATGATAAGAGAGATTCTCAGTTTCTCTAGATAATGTTACATAATGTACTTCCATATGTATACATTTTCTCACGCATGTAAGATGCTAGGCAGATCATTTTTTACCACATATTCTTGAAGAACTATGTCGAAATGTAGTCACTTTTATTACTTCCCTAAGTCTGCTGTCTCTGTCACAGCTGAGGTGAAAAGCAGATTTATGGAAACTGTATTTTTTGAGAAATGAATGTATGTTTGCTGACTGGCATGTTCGCTGCGGTCATGTTTGCATGTTTGCACAAAGGTGTGTCAGTTAGGACCTTGTTGTCAATGTTGGAGCATACATGTTGCTGAATGTATATTTACAGTAGTCTACAGGCTGATGTGATACTGCTATGTTGTGTTGCATGGTCACTCTGTCTGAGGCCTGCAGAGAAGTGTGTTAAATGTAAATAAGTGTAACTTGCCATCTTCTTCATCTGTTATTTACAGTAATGGGGTAATTTGATGTGGGTTAAGGTTCAGAAATGACTGAAATAATACAAGCTCCAAAGTTTGCTGCACTTATATACTGTGATAATAACTTAAACAAGTAAAATCTAGGAGCACAAGTTTCCAGGCTGCAGGGAAAAATGTTTACCTGCTACACCTAGCTAAAACAAAAGCAGTAACAGACCTGCAATAAATCCTATATTCATGACGGTTGTAATCGTTAAATGTTTGTTAAAACTGTTTTATAAAGCTGTTGAGTCAACTTTAGGTCATCTTGTAAGATTTAGTTAGTGGTTTTTTTATTTGTCTAGCGGTGCGTCGGCTACAAATGGGGGTTTCTGGTAGTAAGCTAATGCTAGTCTATCGCTCAAGCTAGGTCCCGCTTGATCTAGAATAGCATTTTATGTCTTAGCTGTGCAGTGTCTCTGTAAGGAGTCATCTAGTAATTTGCAACTTTTAAAAATGTCCTTTTCACAGAAATAAAACGTTTTTTAGCAGCTATTGTTCACGCAGCATTTGCCCCTACTCTGTTTTACATTTTTGAAAAACAACATACTTCATATTCACTTTATTTATTGGTATACTATACTATAATACCCAAACGTTCCTTCTCTCTCTTTCTCTGATGCACAGTTTAATTACATATCTTACAAAGCTATAGTTAACCAACCAGTTTCCAATCTTAATATTTAAAAACGTTTTCCCATGGGAATAGATTTATATGAGACTTGTTTTTGTCTTTGTTTTTCAGGTAAGACTGATTGTAGATCAGAAGGATACAACTGCCTCTACAGCCTGCATAGGCCTAAAGCCAGAACCTCTCCTTCTGACATGCCCATAAAACACAAATACACACACACACACTAATGTATTGCTCTGTTTATCTGCACATCTGTCGAGCCTGATGGAGCTGTGCATGGCTCTGTCAGTGTGGTGTAGAGGCATATATAAGGTTTCAGTGCTATTTGACTGCTATACACATTTATATGAAGACATATTGTATTGTGCTCAAGTCTTTCTTGTCTCTGTAGAGAAAACACAATGCTGGAATTCCAGGCATGCCGATATCGACTTCCTGTGTTTTCAACCCATCGCTAGGTACAACTTCCTGTCTGGTGAGGCTGAGGATCAGTTTGACACACTGACTGAGTCATGATGCCCGCAAAGCGATAACCCACTTTTATATTTGACCTTGACTTTGGTGGTAGAAGGTGAGGGGAAGGTGATTTAATGTGTTTTCCCAGAATTCCTTGCTTTTTCTTTAGATGATCAGTACCAAAAAACAGTCACATTCCTCACATTCACCGTCGGTCGGCTATTGTTCCATGGAAGGAGAGGGGGATTTTATGAGAACGGGTGAAAACTCATGTTGATCTACATCGTTGATAAGAGAAAAGAAAGATGTGTCTTCATGGAAAGACAAGAGTATTGTGTATGGGTTCAATTGTGTACAACATGTCCCTGTCCTTTTTCGTACATAATAACAGGAAAATAAAGAGCTGGAACGTGTGGGGAGTGCGTGACGCCACACGGATGCTTGTGTAACCTCCTGTTCAAAGACCTCCTGTTTCCTAACTACGCAACATCAGGGAATCCAGGTCATACCAAAACACAAACAGTTATGTCTTGGAGAAGCAGTTCTTTTAGGGCAGAAAGATATTGTTGTTTGCATAAATGTTCAATTTGTTTCACTCTTAAAGTCTGAAATCTGTCCTCAAGGCATCCTTCTGAAACCTTTGATGAGTAATGATATGCTCTGTTACACCAACTCAGTAGAGACAACCACGTTTAAATACAAATAAGTGCATTTAATTGGCCCAAAAAATAAATGGTGGGGGTCCTCTGTCCTCTGATCAATGAGATAAGAGAAAATAATAAAACATGAACAGACTTTTAAGTAACGTAGAAGCTGCTGTTGTTTTGCCTGGATGCATACTCCAAGGGCTTCAAAAGAGGGGTTTGAGCAATATGAGGCATGGCTACAATGGGTGATCTGTTTGGTATTTTGAAAAAAAAACTTCACAGACATGTTTTATATAGGTATGGCCCTACAATATATTTTTCAAATATAGCATGATAGGTCCACTTTAAGATAACTAAAAAGTCTGAAATGGGCCTAAAGGCTAAAGTTTCTGACTGAAATGAGGTTTTCTATGAGTAAAGGAGGGCTTATAGTGTCCTGGGTGTTCAGTTCTCCACCTCTCTTAAGCCTTAAAGAGAGGGCGTCGTCACAATCTGATTGGACAAGAGGGTAAATCCTCCAAGCTGGTCTCAATTCATAATCAGGAGCGAGTCCCCACACTCTGTTCAACAGGTGATCTGAATCACCCTCCAATCAAGTCAGGGGAACATTCAGCTCAAATATAATTGCTAAAAGTCAAACAATCACACAGTTTAAACTAATGAAAATGGTCAAGTCATGGTTTGTAATCAGGTTGGTCTTTGTTGAATTATGCATTTGGTTCAGGTCTTTATGATCATTATATTGTTCCAGTGGTTGTTTGCCGGTAACAGTGTTGTTGAGACCCAACAAGCCACATCGCCCTTTCAGGTCAGCCAGTGAGCTCTGAACCATCTCAGGTCTTTAGTCACAGCCTCTGGTCACTCAGAGACCCTCCCCTCACTGTCATGGTGGTTGACCCCTGTGTGTTTGTCACAGTCAACAGGCCTCCACGCACTTCTCTTTCCCGCCTCTTGTTTGAAGCCCGCGGGGGGTGGGGAGCTCCTCGGACACCCGCGGAAAAACAGTTATCCCACCTCGATGCTGAATTTGGAGATGGCCTGCTGTTTAGAAGTAGTACGTCTGTGTGAGATTGACAGTAGGGCAACGGGAAGTAATGCCCGAATACACATTGAGTTTTACGAGACACGTACAGAAGGGATTAAGGGTGAGAAGCAGCTTTCTGCAAACCTAGTGATTTATGTCAGACCAGGGATGAAGACCATAATTAACACTGCATACATGTAAGTAGTCTAAAGATACATCTGAGGACATTTATTGCGTTTTCAAAGCCATTCCTCGTATGATTCCATTTAAACAGTAGAGCAGATGTCTCCTCGATAATTAGCAGACATAACTGTGCAGCTGGCTGCTGAGTCGGGAGTTTCTGCAGCCAAGAGTCAAGTGGGTAAATGTGAAAAACAAACCGCAAAGATAGCGTGTGCCAGAGTTCACCTACAGTACATCAACCCCCCACTCTTTCTCTTTGTCAGATTGAACAAACTCCATGTGCATCACTGGGACTGACGCTCAATACGAGGCTGGGTTGTGAATTTCAGGAGTCAATATGATGTCTCTGGAGACTGCAGATGCTCTGTGTGTAGACACAACGTGCCAAACAGGCTCAGTAAATAAATCCACCTGGTTCACGGGGTGGTAGGAAAGTCAGGGAGTTCATGGTGTCATGAAAGTTGTTTTAAAGGTCTCCTATTATGCTGTTTTTCCTCAATATATGATAGGTTTCAGATATATTCAAAACATGTCTCTGAAGTGTTTGGCTCCAAACACCAAACAGATCATTGCAGCATCCCATAATCCCCTCTGTTTCAGCCCTGTTTCAAAAGTACTGATTCTCTGTCTGTTACTTTAGATGAAAATAAGGAGCCACTCCCCACGCCCCTCTGAGAGATATTTGTTAAAAAGAACACAATGGTGCTCTAGGAGGAGATTCAGGTGATAAGGTGGTGGTGGGGTATTTGTGTAACCATTGTGGCTAATGGTTACACAAGCCAAACAATCGTTATGACATCATAAAGGGGCCAAAATCTGATCAGCTCATTTTCAGACAGGTTTTTATATAAATGGATCAGGACAAAAAGTGAGCGAATACCTGAAACTTTCAGAATCTCTTTACACAGAGGGGACACATGTTTATGTATACAAGACATGAAAAAATGGATTTTGCATAATAGGTGACCTTTAAAATACCCTTTGTTCTGCTCTGATTTGGATGGTAGTATCTCAGCTATTGAGTAAAGTGAAATTTGGCACAGACATCCAAGATGTTTGAAGAATAAATCCTAATGACGTTGGTGACCCCCTGACTTTACCTCAAAACTTTTGGATGATTTTCCATGAAATTAAACAAAAATGTATTCATCTTGATCACTTTTGTAATCCCTTTACTTCCTCCTGCTAAATCACCAGGTTTACATTTGAATTTGTCTGCAAAACGAATGACACTCCCATTAGACTCAGCTATTTTGTGTTTAGTAGCCGACTTATAAGCAAACGTTAGCATGCTAAGAGGCAAAATTAAGACGCTAAACATGATAAAAATAACACCTGCTTAGCGTCAGCTTGTTAGCATGCCGACATTAGCATTTAGTACAAGGCCCTGCTGTTTTTCTAAGTAGAATCTAGCATAGCAGACTTTGAGGGAAAACTCACAAAGAATTGCGCTGCTTTTGCGGCTACTAAGAACACAGAAAGTAAGTACTTTTAAAAGCATCTGATAGATAGATTGGCCCATAACTGAGCTGCTAAGAAAATAGCGTCGTGGTTCTCTTGTGCTACATGACGAGTTGCAATTGAACAATAAAATATGCTGGGTTTGAGGTGCAATAATCCTTAACAATGTACTGTATTTTGTGAATCAGACCTTGAGACAAGTGATGAAGTTATTCATAGGGTTTTCAGCAAAATGTGAATTGACATGTTAGTATGGTTGGAATCAGTTTTGCTTCATTTTTCTCTTGTTGTCTTGTTGACTGAGCAGCATGTTGCACATGTGTCCTTTCCGAAGCTAAGGTAAACTGGAAAAAAGGAATAAAAACACAAAACAAAGTAGATTCAAGCACATTAGCTTCTTATATCCATATAAAATAGCATTAGGTGGCAAACACAAACAAACATTCCGTTTTTTTCATCATATCTTATAATAAAACACAATCAGTAACAGTTGTAAGTTGGCATGAAGAATGTACAAGCCATGTTTTTCAATAACTTAAAGGGGACCTATCATGCAAAATGCACTTTTGTACGTCTTTTATACATGAATATGTGTCCCCGGTGTTCCAGGGAACTCACCAAGTGTCAGAAAACACAACCCTCTCTATTTTCCTCCATACCCAAATCTCTAAAAACGGGGCTGCAACGGATCTGATAAAAACTGATCCAGATTTGAACACTGCCCTGACGTCAGGACAGTGGCGCTACGGCTATTGGGCCAACTCTCCACCTATCAGGGGAATGTGGGGTTGGGCCACGGCCGGCCATTGCCGTACGAAAGCGCTGGAGACGCTGTAGTACATATGCCAGGCCAGTAGATGGTGCTGTTCTCACAGAATCAGCCCTTGCAAAAACAGAGCTAACATTTTTCAAATTGAGCGAAATGAGGCATGGCTAAAATGCATGATCTGTTTGGTATTTTGAAAAAGAAAAAGTATAAATATGCCTTATATAGGTATGGTCCTACACTATATTATTCAAATATAGCATGACAGGTCCACTTTAAGATGTTTGGCATCGCCAGAGAGTTTCTACTGGTTGTTACTAATGGAATTAGAAAGGAGACACAAATAATATCTACATTGGCAATGTTTGGCTTTTTGCTTTCCAAATAAGGGACTTTTCATTTACTTGTGTTGACTCTTTTAGTTTTCTGTAATTGAAATGTCAAAAATGATGTGATTTCGATTATTTAAACAAATACAGGGCGGGCGCTTGAAGGGAAATGTTTCGTAGGTAGGTGTTTCTTTACCCTTTTGAGAGATTTAAAGGAATGTGATTGGGAAAGTAACAAGTCTTTATCGAATAGAGGAACAAATACATGTTTCGAGATGCACTAAAGCAAACACTGAAATAGAAGTTAAACCCTGCATGATCCTGTTAGAACCACCTAGTCATCACAAAGCATAGTAACATATCTCATATTGTCTTGCAGTATTTAAAGTATAAAAAAAGTTAATCCACAGTAATGGCAGAGATAAATAAATAAGAAACATAGCACAGCGTCAGGTCACAGGCGTAACGCTACCCCTCGTGTTCAGATAGCACCTTTTTCTTCACCTGGGATGAGATTTAAAAAATGCAACATTTGATGTTTTTGTCCTCTAATCGCTTCAGTGTAATTCCAGTGTGTTAAACATAATTAAATATGGTTAGACGAGAGAGACCATCGCTGTTTTACGGAGCGAAAAAATGATATCATGCTTCTGACGGTACATTTACACAGCTCTCTGTTCCCATGATCTATCAAAAAGGAAATACTGCTCATTTTAGTCACTTGTTTTTACGATCTATTGATGATTGTCTCTCAATGACACAAAAGTCCATTTATATGTCCATTCTTCCACCAAATGCACATTGTTGTCCGTCCTGGTTGTGTTATCAAAAAGAAGTCTTTCAGCAACACACTTTGTCATTTGAACCCCGTAGCGACTGTGTCAACATGTAAGTGCAGCTTCTCTCGGTTGATATCAAAACACGGTTTTCAGAAGAGTTTCGAGATTGCACTTTTGTCCTCAGCTCTACAGCGATGCAGTTTCAGTCCCCCACTTGTTCTCAGTCTTCGGGTGCCGTGTGTTACTTCCTACCAGCGACTGTCATCGTAGAGGCAAGCCGCCAAGTCTTTAGCCGTCTCCACCTTTTTTATTTATATTCCTTTTTCTTCTCACCCTCGTCTGACTCCACACACGTGTCGTTACAGGTTCACCAGACAGTCATTAGTAGTGTTACGGAGGAGCAGGACGAGCAGGTTACTGACAAGTGAATAAATACTTATATGAAGGAAGTCACTGCGCTTCACCTCTGGATCCACGAAATACACCAAGTTCACCTTGTGTCCCTAGAGAAGAAATAGTAAACATACTTTTAACAGGAAATAGAAATATCTTTGGATCATCATTACATTTGCAAACTTTTTTCTTGTTTTCAAGATTCAAAGGTTTTATTGTCATATGCTCAAAGCTACAGTGTAGAAATGGCAATGGAAATCTTATGACTTGAGCTCCTCCAACAATGCAACATATATAATAAAATACAAAATAAAAAGTAGTGCAAAAAGTCTATATTCATGTAAATAGAATACGATATGTACAAGAACAGAATAAGAAATAAAATAATGTTCATTTGAATGTTCGGTGAACTCACCTGGCTTTATTCCTAGCTCTACATTAGCATAGCCCTCATAGCTTTCTTGCTGATTCTTTTGCGATTCTTCCTCATCCGTTTCCGTGGACGGGCGGGGGGTCTGGGGCCCGTTGGAGCCGATGGAGACCTTGTGGTAGTCGTAGATGTTGTTGTTGCTGTGAAAATAGCATTAGCATAGCATTTTTAAAACACAACAAATATACGTTTTTCTCTTTTGGATCTCTTTTATTGGGAAAGTTCTCGTAATAAAAACTGTTACCGAAACAACAGAGAAACCATTTAGTTATCTTTAAGTACTTCATTTTACTCTATAGGCGCGTTCACACCAAGTACTTTGCCGTATTTAGTGCCGGCACTCAGTGCCCCGGCAGTTATTACACCAGGGCATTTAGTACAGATCGCGTTCACACCGGAGTACTTTTCCCTGAGGGAAGATTACGCAAATGAGCCGCTGACGTCACTTCGTCTTCTTCTGCTTTGGGTTTACTGGCAGGCAGCAAACAACTTCACGGCGTATACTGCCACCCGGAGTCCCCGGCCGGAAGTCCCCGGAGTTGGGGACTGGCTTCAGTAGAAGCTGCTGGGACTCCCAGCAGCTTCTACTGAAGCCTTCCGAGTAAATCGCCAGAACACCGACACCTCCTCATCTCCACCGCTCCCATGTTTTATTTTGTGTTGCCATAAGTTAGTCTCTCTGCGTTTGTGCACTGGGCGAATGCTAATGCTAATAATGCTAATGCCAGGATAATAAAATGGCGGCTCTACAAAACATAGAGAGTACAGAGTTGTACGGGGCGTGGTTTGCAATTCGCCCAGCCAATCAGAACTGGGGCACTTTTCTCCCCCAGGAAAGTACCATCTCTCAGCAGGCACTAAAAATGGGGGTAAAAGTTCCCGAAATTAAGTGCTCTTTTTGGTGTGAACGCGTGAAGGGGTACTAACGGAACTAAACGCGAAAAGTACGGTGAAAAGTACTCCGGTGTGAACGCGGCTATTAAGTTGTTTTTTTTGACCCCCCAGTATTCAATACCATCTCTCACCTGGTTTCTGTGTTGTTGTATGCAGGTGATGATGATGATGCTTGCCATGCAGGTGATGCTGCAGATCCTTTTCTTTCTGCCTCTCCTCCTCTTCACGTTTCACCTGCTGCTGCCTCAGAATCTCCTTCTCCTGGTCCAGCCTCTTGTGGAGAAGCAGCAGCTCCTTCCTCTCCTGCTGCAGTCTCTCCTCCTCACTCTGTAATATCTGCACCTCCTCAGGAGTGTCATTGTCTCTCCGTCTCGCCAGTTCTCGAGGATCTGGATTCGGCTCTTTGGTCGGTCTGAACCGGGTCCAAACTCTCTCGTTAGGCACCTCAGTGGGACTGAATTTGGCTTCTTGATTGTGAGTAACGGCGTGAGAGGAACCACCCGTCTGGGTCTTGGACAGAGGGTCGTCTCGCCGTAATGGATTCCTGTTTTCCTGATTCCCTTCTGTACTGTTTCGCAGCAACCCCTCCCCACCTTCTACCAACTCGTTCTTCTCCTCAACACCAACATTATCCATTGTCTTGTTGCCATCTGAGACCCCAGCGTTCTTCCTCTCCATGTTCTCCGTCTGGTCTTTGGTCCCATGCAGCCTGGTGGAGTTATGTGTCCAGTGTGGAGCAAAAAGCAGAGCCTCTCCAGAGCGAGGTGCCTCCTCCCCAGCCAGGCTGTACCCCTCCCCAGGCTCGGTGAAGGTGTCTCCCCTGGGGCTCCAGTGCTGCTCCAGCAGGTCCTCCAGGTGGGCCCTCTGGGTCTGCTTCAGCTCATCCCACTGATGGAGGTCATCTTTGGAGTGCACCTTGACCTTGGACAATGAAAGGAAACACAATTCAATTCAAATGTTCCAGTTTGGTCCATTGATGCCCAACCAAAATCCTATACTATCTTATCTAAATGCATTAAAATGACTAGTCACATAAAAGGGTGTTAATGAGTAGAATGTATTTGTTATGTAAAATATCTGAAGTCCAAAACTACACTTTAAAATCAAACCAACCAAAGGAGGGTATGTTTTTGGTTGTCATAATAAGATTGCTAAAAAACTACTGGCTTGTTTTTCATTCAACTTAAAGGTAGGGTAGGTAAGTTTGAGAAACCGGCTCGAGATCGCTAGAATTTGAAAATACACAACCGGAGAAAATCTGCCACTTCCTTACAGAGCCCCTCCTCCAACACACACGAACGCGCACATGACCAATGAGGGCACGAGATAATTTTGTGCACAGATGGCAGGCTGACAGGCAGGTAGGCCATCCAGTTATTTTAGCTGGGCCGGTCGTGCTTTTTACAGTATTACAGCTTCCACAGATGACATTCTTTTATGGATTTTTTGTCAAAGCACTTAAGATATTCATTGCTATCGGGATGTTAAGAGCATTCCATGGAATATAACAAAAAGTGTATCTCGAGCCGGTTTCTCAAACTTACCTAGCCCACCTTTAATGTAAAAAAAAACATTACATTCGGGAGCGGATCAATATCAAAGAGCTGATTCACAAATATTTGTCACTTTCGTGGAAATAGGGGGAAACTGCATTTGGCATTTCCAATTGCTAGATACTACATGTAACAACAATCTAGAGATGAAAACCATAGGAACTCAACTCTTCTGTTTGGTTTGCAATAGAAAAGGTTATCCACAAAGGAACAATTACTTTTATTGTGAGGGTCCAAGAAGTATTGAGCAATAGTTACGATGTCTACAAGCAGGTTTTAAGATCATAAGTTGGTCCATGCATACATTTGTATACATTCTTTGTCCAGATTACTTATAAAAGTGCTTAGAGTTGCAGTTGTGTATTGAGGTTTGTTGGATACTCTGAGCAGAAGAAGGCTCTTTTCTTGTGGTCACACCCTTATGACTTTGTGTACAACTACAGCCTAATATTCAGTCATGATCTAAAGCAGTACATCCAGTACACAAATGCAATGTACCTGTCCGTGTCCTTGGCTGAGTGTCTGGTTTTGGTGCTGGTGGTTGTGTTGTCTGCGAGAGGATTTTTTCTTTGGCGGAGGGAGACGTGGAGCCTGCTGACATCGGCACTCTACGTGATCCACCACCGACACCACGGCTTTAGCGTAAGTTGGCCTTTTGTTGACATACTCAATCTTCATGACCTAGAGAGTAAGATAATCAAAAGTTCAAAGTTAACTTTATTGTCAATCTTTCAGTTTGCGTGTACAGACAGAGAGATCGAAATACCCACTCACAATCCCAAATACAAAAACAAACATATATAAAAATATGTATGCAAATATGTATATCCTATATATACACAATCAACAGACACATTTATACATATGCACACATTAAGACCTAAATAAAAGCACAGCAATCAATATATACAAAATAACAGTCAATTCAATATCTTTGAGAATGTACAAATTAGTGCAAAAAAGTGTCGGGTGCCCGATTTGAGTAATAAGATGACAGTCAGAGGGGATAACGGTCTTTCCACCATATTATTGTTTAAATGTTTGGATATTTGTGTCCTGTGTGGTTGTTTACCTGCAGGCGTCTGGTGTGCGTTGCCACGGGGACGCAGTGCATGCTCTTGGTGTTGCAGCAGCCGGAGCAGCGCTGCACCTCCACGCAGGGCGGCCATAACAGGAAGTTGGCGTTGCTGCGGTCCAACATCGCCCTGGTGACCTCCACCACTTCTGTCCGAACTTTACACAGAGCCTGCTGCGCCGGCTGGGCGTCTGAGGGACGAGAGATGAGTGTGAGCGTGGAAGGAATATGAAACAATTGGTTGGCAGCACAGGAACAAACTCATTATGCATTCGTTTTAGGCATGTTGTATCTCTTTGTGGTTGTTTTACATCTCATGTTGTTTTCTGTCTTTCTGTTGTAATTCTGTTGTTTTTTGTCGTCACCTTGCATACATTCTTTGTAATTTCTCCTATTTACTTTTTTTACATCTCATTTTGGATGTTTTTATGCACTTTGTGGTTGCTTTGTATCTCTTTTTTGTCATTTTGCGTATCTTAGTGGTAGTTTTGTGCATTTTTTCAGTCGTTTTTCGGCTTTTTGTGGTCAGGAGAATTTTAAAAAATACACAGGCCAACTTTAAAATAAATCCACACAGCACTTGGGGAGTCCTCTGCACATTTGAATACAATTAATATAATTAAAATGGGCCCACTTTGAAATAAATAAAACATATAGCTGCACCCTGAAAAGAGTTAACTGGTTGAATTATGACTGAAGGTCGTCAGCTGTCTTCCTCTTCCGTGTTTTTCCTCCAATACGTAAAGGCTGCAGCACCTTTGACAACTTCTCTCCACATATCAAACATCCCGGTAAGCCAGCATCGTTTGCTGTGAAAGCAGATAACTCTAACCACGCAGAATTAAACCCTCTGTGTTCCTTTGATACTTTTCTTTTCTTTGATGTATCCATAGTTCGCTCATCGAGCCGGGGGTCAGGTTATTCGCCTGCAAGAAAAGGCGCTGGCGCGGGACCGTAGCAGGATGTGACGCATATTTTAGTTGACCTAATTAAAACCGTTTTTTTTTTTTTTTTATGTGTCACAGTATCACCTCAAAATACAAGATACCAAACATTTTCAACCGTGCAACAAAATATAAATAGTCCTACAAATATTTTAATTTTATTTCCTTCTTATCTTTGTCTAAGCTCAAGGGAGCCAGAGCAGAGGGCTTAAAGAGAGCCGCGGGTTGCCGACCCCTGGTCTAAGTGGTTGCTCTTTGTGTTCACTTTGTATCTCTTTCAGTCACATTCCTTCCATTTTTGACACATGTATATAGTGAGATAAGTAGCTCTCACCATTGAAGCCCAATTGGTTTAATACAAAGTGACTTTTGACTCATGCAGCTCAACTGTCCTGCATTAGCACCGCGGCATCCACTAAAGCCTGTTTCTAGCTGATGCAAAGCAGAAGCAAGCAGTGGGATTATAATATGAAACTCATGCATTCCAAATGAGTAGACATGCTACAGCTTCCTCTTATCAAACAGGAGGACATTTTCCTGCAACTGTTTGACGTACACAGATAACATATGAAACATATTCTACATGATGATTGATGAAGGGTATTAGTATCTCCTCATGCAGGAGGGAAGCCACGCAGACTGAGGTAGACTGGTGTTCAGTTATTCAGACATCTGTTTTATCAAAAAGGTTAATGGGGAGGATTTGACCGTGTCACTAAAGCCAAACTTGTCACATCAATCAACTCCCAGGAAGGGCAGTCCTTTACTAATGAGGATGGAGTACTTTACATGTCATGAGGAAAATCAGGAATCCTCCACATCAGCACTACCACCTTCTAATAAACTATTTATGGGTTTGAATGCACACATATTTAACCTTAAGACCATACCATGAGGTTGTGTTTGTCAAGATCCAAAGAACTTATAGCAGTGAGGATCTTTGGATCTCATAATTTACTATGAATTCACATATTTAGTGCAACAAAAAGGCGTTTTAAATTATATAAGGAAGGTGGGGGGGGGGGGGGGGGGGGCTTATCTTACCGAGGCTCCTTGGTAGTCTGTGGCCTCCGTTCGCTGCAGAAGTCCCGTCCTCCTCATCTGAGACAAAACAATAAACAAGCACAGCCTATGACTTGTGTAAACACAGCAAGTGATTTATGAATGGTGTTTATGGCATGCGGTGCATATTGTGTTCTGAGGCCTTATAGCGCCCTCTGGATGTACGGAGACAAAACGGGAGCTGAAAAACTGGCATGTGGAGGGGAGAGGGAGAAACAAAGAAGTGTGGGGGGGGGGGGGGTTAACGTCACATGTGAGGGTGCTTAAGAACATGTCAAAAGGAGAAATAGAGACTTAGATATAGCTTAAGTATGTATTGCATGGGTGTATTTTTGTGTGTGTTTGTGTGTTTCTAAGACCATATGTTGTGTTCCCCCTGCTCCTTGTGACTCCACTTGTTTGTCAGACTTGGTTTTATTACTGGTGATGTTTACTAGTCACAATTATGGTAGAAAAGTAACAACTTGTTGCCATGTTTATTTGTAGGTTATCATTGCTTTACTGTGCACATTTGATCTTTTATTGAGTGAACACTTGATTACAAGTTTCTGCAATTAGAATATAATCTCAAAATATGAGCGCCTGCATTTATGATACAATCACAAATCAGCATATTGTGTTTGTTCACTGGCCTTCATTTATTACCTTGTGTATTCATCAGCTTTATTTAAAGAGACTCTAGGTCAATTCATAAAAGACATACAACACTCAAATATAAATAAAAAAAGGCAGTTATACCAATGTTTCCACAGAGGTGACTGTACTGAGACACGGATTTGAAGTTAGTTATGAGAAACATTCAGTCGACAGATGAATTTGTACATTAGATTTCTCAAGAGAGCATGGAACGCGTTGACTCGTGCATTACAAAACATTTCACTTGCAACTGTATTGACACTGCTGTTTTTATTTGATTTCAAAGCACTTTTGAAAGGATACTCACTAGGCCAAAGGTTAAACACCATTCTCACACACCCATATTGTATGAAATATCAGAAGTTGCTGGTCTTTACCTACGGAGTCAGAGAGCAGCAGCAGCTGGAGGTCCTCTATGGAGGAGATGGGGCTGTTTCTAACCAGCTCCACCAGGGCTGCAGGCAGAGGATCCCCCTGAAACACACCAGAAGGAAATCAAACATATTACTCTGGAACATGGGTCTGGGAAATAGAGACACAACCATTGAGTTTGTCAGCCGTGCATGAGACAATAAGAACATCTATTTGAGTATTTCCCACCCGGAATTCATCCTGCATCAAACATCACAGAGTTCTCCAAACAATTCCTCTGAGGAAAGGGAAGAGCACCGCAGCACGTCTGCAATGGGGTCTCAGTGTGTGTGTGTGTGTGTGTGTGTGTGTGTGTGTGTGTGTGTGTGTGTGTGTGTGTGTGTGTGTGTGTGTGTGTGTGTGTGTGTGTGTGTGTGGTGTGTGTGTGTGTGTGTGTGTGTGTGTGTGTGTGTGTGTGTGTGTGTGTGTGGGGTGTAGGCTTGACTTGAGGAACTAGAGGTGATCAAAATGAAAATAAAATTGCATTTGTTCTATAAGAAACCCAAACCCCGCTGTGCAAATTGACTTTTGATACAAACATAACAACTATTATTGTTAGTTTATTTCAACAGTGGGATCTTTACTGACATATTTTTGGTCGTAGGACAAAACTTCCCAAAAGTCTCGTAAACTGACATTAACCACAGAATTTATTCCAGGCATCTGACAAAGAACATGTTTAAAAAAACTTCTGTAAAATGCTTTTATTTATTTTTATTTACTTTACTATTATTAATAAAATTTTTATAATTATCTTATTTATTTCCTTATTTTTACTTGTAACAATTTTTTTTTACTTTATTTTATTTCATATTCTGTTTTACCATTGTATTATTTGTCATTTGAATGGAAAAGTCCTATGTCACAGGATATGTCTTGATTTGTAAAAAAAAAAACAGTTAATTTTCTTTTTTTAAAACCTCTGACTTTGAGACAAGCTAGCCGGAAGATGTAAAATGCTGATTCATGAGTCATTCCTGCTAAACTATGGAGTTTTTATAACATGGAAGCTATAAACAATATGAGGCTGTGTCACAACAGGAAACTTAATAGTAGGGAAATTAATGTCAAGTTGTCTTTGTTGTAAATAACACCAGGATAAGATAACACTTAGTGCTTAAACAACACACCAAATTATCCAATACCACCACACCAAGCAACAACAGCTCTACATGGTGACTCTATGGAGTGGGTGTGGGTTTAACCCCCCCAGTCATTAATGGGCAGGAGGGGGGTATTAACCAAAGCGGACACACAATGGTCACTAAGAGCAGGGTGAATGACTATTGGCGTTGTGTCTTCTCATCTGCTAACATTTAGGGGTCAAAGGAGCCAGGAAGGAGTCAGGAAGTGGGGGAAGGAGTGATATGGAGAAGAGGAGATGGAGAAGGGAGGTGCATCTGAAGAAGAAAACTGGGATAATAGATGAATAAAAGACGGGTTAAAATGGACAAGGATCAGACATGGGTCGAGAAACTTCCTCACGTTGCTTTAAATGCTGTGGACGTGCTTCATTTGCTGCCGCATGGTGACAAGGAACCAATGAAGATGGACTCAAAGCAGCCAATGTGGACAGACTATAGGACCAACAGATACAATATGAACTCATATCTGATCTCTAATCTTTCCCTGCTTGATGCTGTGTAATAGCATTTGTATTTCTTTGTGTTTAAAGCCTCTTTCATACTCATCATTGGACATTATATGTTAGATTAAACTGGCCTTCTCCCACTATAAGACAGTTTAGATTTCAAAGGATCCACTTTCTCGCTTCCTTAAAACTGTAGGACTCAACTTCTCTAAGGAGACACTCTGCCTAAGTGTTCTTCTTTATTACTAGCATCAGGAAAACAAGCTTTTATGTTTAAGGCTACCTCTGACTGGAATAATTGACCTTCTAAAATGTTATCTTAGACATCCTCTGGTATGTTAAGCTAATGTCATCTCCTATTTTAGGACAAATTTGCATGTTTAAAATTACATTAATGAACATCTGTCTTTGGCTACTACTACTGGCTTTAAATTGTATTTCAAAAAGTTCAAAAAGAAGATGTCATCAGATTAGTGGTATAGAAAATAGGGATAACTAGCATGATTTTAATCTTATAACAACATTGTCTTTTGTTTTTTCTGTGTGTTTAAGTAGTCAAATATGTGGTGTGTTTGTCCATTGATACTTTAGTGTTTCTTTAATAGTTTATTTTCTGTGTAGGACCCCGTCAAGAACAAGATTACCCATCTCAAGGGGCTTATTCTAAATACAAAAATGTGCCTTAAAATGTCTTAGGATCAAAATACATCAGCAATTTAGAACCATACAACATGTAAAGGACTACACATCGTAAATTAAATGTAACAGTGTAGGTCCGGTCCGGTACAGTGTGTAGGACTGTAGAGTATAATGAATCCCTACGGGAAGCAGGCTTTAGCCAAAGGAAGCAGCCATCCATGCATGGACATGTATTCTCATCCTGCCTCTACTGCACGCCGCTGACTTTCCCCCATTGTTAACGGGCTTTTCAGAGCGTTGAATAATACACGGGGAAATGCCTGCTGTATTACGCTCACATGTCTGAGCTGTCCGTCCCCTCAGGAGTCATCACCGTGATTTCTTCCCCTCGCCAAACGGAGCAAAAGCCGCCTGCTCGGCTAATTGTGTCTGATGTTAATTATAGGATGTGTGCCTTTGTTCACGGTGGTGCCTGCTGCCATGACGATTTGTGTCTAAGCAGGAAATACTAAATAAACACTTTGGGTTCTGATAAACAAAACAGATGTAAACACATTCAAAAATCCACAGACAGAATGCGTAAACACACATCAAGAAAGCTCAAATAATAGTATCAAGATAGTAAAATAGTAGGTTGTGGAGGAATGTCATAGGACCTGTACTTAGGTAAACAAGAGCGTAAACGAATGATAGGGTTTATCGAGGCATCAAACCAGGGCTGATTATAACTAATGATTGTTGTCCATTTTGATTATTTTCTGTATTGATCTGGTAATCGTTTGGTCTAATAAAATGCCAGAAAATAGTGAAAAATGTACATCCTGATTTCTCAACCTGATGTCTTTTTTTGTCAGTCCAAAACTTTAAGATTTTCACTTAAATAGAATTTAAGACAGAAAAAAGTGGAAAAATCTCTATATTTGAGAGGCTGAACACAGCCCTACCATTTTTGCATTAAAAAGTACATGAATCGATAATATGTGATTATTTGTTTTGCTTTTACCCAATATTGCACTTATAGCAATGTGGGTATTGGGCTTGTCCATGTTATGATGTTGCTAAACTTCGATAAATTGTGGAGTCCTACTGTCAATCAGTTAAAAAGCACAGAAAACTTCTTATAAAGTGTGTAATAAAACCAAACGTCTCCCTTCATTGTCGTACAATATCGCTCTTCTTTTAAAATCATGACAAATCCTATTGTCTCGTACACTTTTTGTCATTTTACATTGTCCAAAAGATCCCATTTTTGGACGTAATCCAGCCCTTATCACCTAAAGCAAGCTCCCGTCCCCTGGAGGTGTGTTGGACGTTTTGAGGACTGCCAGGTCCCGGCTGCAGTGGGCAGGAGGAGGAGAGGAGCGTCTAATGGCTCATAATTAGGGGGTAGAGTTTGCTGCAGCACACGTGTGGAGTTTCACGTGTGCTCGTTGAAACTGCGCCTACACGTGCGCAAAACTGGAATGTCTGAATAAATGTGACTTTAATTAATTCCTTTGTCATGATTTACGCTCTGGAAAGGCGCCTAATGCAATTAAGGATAATGATGAGTTTGTGCTGTAAATTAAATGTCTGGATTCCTCTTTGGTGGTCCACACTTGAATCTATACGTGTATATACAGTTGAATGTTCTTATTATAATGTTCTTTTTATAGCGTTTGTGATTGAAGCTTGCATACTGACTCCAGTAAGACTTGGGGAATTCCTGGTTTTGTACCTCAAAGGCTAACTTTCTCCCTTCAAAACGCCTGGCCTGTCAAATGTGAGCTTTCTTTTTACATGTGGTGCCTAGAGAGGCTATAAAATGCAAAGACAAGCTGATGACAGGGATCTCAAGTCATCCATCATAGCTGTGTTCCACCAGAAATCCACCTTTATGTTAAGCATTCATGGCTACGGTAAATGCATACACTTAATTGTATAGGTGGGGTAAATGAAAGGGGGGATAAGCGCACGTTAAGACGGCACACTGCAAAAAACTGTTTATATTTTTCCATTAATTAAAAGCTTCTATTGGCAGAAGACCTTGTTGCAAATGTCCCAATACCATGCTACTCACAAAGGGTTGTGCCCTCTTTCTGACTTGTTTAAAGGTCTACTTCCTATGACTGACTTTTTAACTGTGTGTTTTGACCCCATTTCGTTTCACAAGTGGCTGACACTGGTGGTTCATTGTGAAGATTGACTTCCTGGGTCGGAAACAGAGAAGAAATACAAAAAATAATCTGATCAAATGTGCATCTGGACCTACTTCTATAGCCTTCATTTAGGCAAAAGAGGCAAACATGTTTGAAATGTCATTTATCTTGAAGACTCACTTGACCTAGACGGGGCCCTGAGTTAAGATTTGTCTTCCTGTTTGACCTCAGGAGACGGTCAGACTTCACCCATCGATCATGCGTGCATATTTCACCGTAGCATGTTCATTACTCTGACAGATGTGTGCAGAAGTGGTTCACTGGAGGTGGAAACTTAAGTAAACAGGGCATCATCAATGTCTTCATTCATGGTAACATCCATGCCACAAAACACTTAAACTACTGATACTTAAATGGAGACAACACCATTTTCAGGTAAGATTGTCATTGCGTTCTGCACTTAAATATCAATAATTGAAGTGTTTTAGACCCTCAACATCTGGCAAGACAGGTGATTTACATTGTGTTGATGCATGACAAATATTTCACACCACAACCAGATCCTGTGTCATCTTGGCTCCAAGACATATTTCACCCTGAGTGTCAAAAACAATCTCTCACAACTGTGGTATCTCATGGTCGTCCACTGTGACTAACATGTGGTCTCTGCAGCATCACATCACAGTAAGATGCTGCTCACTTTAAAGGTCCTCTATTATACTGTTTTTCATCAATATGTTATAGGTCTCAGATATATACAAAACATGTCTCTGAAGTGTTTGGCTCCAAACACCAAACAGATCATTGCAGCATCCCATAATCCCCTCTGTTTCAGCCCTGTTTCAAAAGTGCTGATTCTCTGTCTGTTACTTTAGATGAAAATAAGGAGCCCCTCCCCACGCCCCTCTGAGAGATATTTGGTTAAAAATAACACATTAGGCGCTTTCACACCGCAGTACTTTTCCCACAAAGGTTCATCAGAACTTAGTTCATGAGAACTCTTTAGTTCTCATGAACTAAGTACAGATCGCGTTCACACCGGAATAAGTCCCTGGGGGAGGATTATGCAAATTAGCCGCTGACGTCACTTCTTCTTCTTCTGCTTTGGGTTTACTGGCAGGCCGCAAACAACTTCACGGCGTATACTGCCACCCGAAGTCCCCGGCCGGAAGTCCCCTGGAGCCTTCCGAGTAAATCGCCAGAACGCCGACACCTCCTCATCTCCACCGCTCCCATGTTTTCTTTTGTGTTGCCATAAGTTAGTCTCTCTGCGTTTGTGCGCTGGGCTAATGCTAATGCTAATAATGCTAATGCAAGGATAATAAAATGGCGGCTTCACAAAACTTTTTGGGAGTTTTACGGGGCGTGGTTTGCATTCCGCCCAGCCAATCAGACATAGGAACCTTTTTCTCCCACGGAAGTACCTGCTCTCTAGCAGGGACGGAAAAGGGGGTAAAAAGGTTCTCATGAACTAATTTTAGTTCCGGATTTTTTTGGTGTGAACGCGACATTTCGGAACTATATCGGAACTAAAGTGGGAAAAGTACTGTAGGAGGAGATTCAGGTGATAAGGGGGGGGGGGGGGGGGTACCTTGGTTGGTGATTGGCTAATGGTTACAAAAGCCAAAAAATCGTTATGACATCATAAAGTGGCCAAAATCTGATCAGCTCATTTTCAGACAGGTTTTTATATAAATGGATCAGGACAAAAAGAGAGAGAAACTTTTTTCCTGAAACTTTCAGAATCTCTTTACACAGAGGGGACACGTGTTTATGTAGAAAAGACATGAAAAAGTGGATTTTGCATAATAGGTGACCTTTAAGAACTCACTCAACATCTGGAGCAGCATCCACTTTACCCCGTGGAGCATCCAGCTGCTAAAGAGCTTCTCATGGCAGCCAGCCTCTGTTTCCTGGATCATCACCCCCTCCTCCCCATGCATGTGTGTGTGCCCCTGGGCCTCCATTCATTCATTATACCAGTTAATGGGAGGAATAACAGTTATTTTCTGCAGGGAGGATCCCGACCAACGCACAAGCAATACGGGAAAGACAGGTTGTATTATAAGACTAAAGCAGGTGCACTAAATTAAAAATAAAACTTGATTTGAATATATTGTTCCTTGTAGTCTTGATGATGTTACTCATAATTTAGCTCAATAAGAGAAATACAATAGAATAGAATAGAAGTGATACAAGTGAAAACCCTTCATTTAAAGTCATTTGTACGCATTTTGTGAACAACTAGCTACTGCAAGGCTAAGTTTGTTTTAGCAAGCATACTTTAAAGCTAGGCTATTTCCTGTCGTAGCTTGTGCTGCATTTTCATTGTTTGAATCTAACAAACATTTACTCAAGTAATTGTAGTTTATTACTGTTACTTTATACTTCTACTACAACGATACAAAGAGAAATATGGTATTTTTTACTTAACTACATTCATTTTACAGATAACGTTAGTAACTTTACAAATGAAGATTTCTGCACTAAAAAAGTTATACGAATATTGTGTTTTGTTATAAAATAAACTAGCTTGGTCGATTAATCAACTAGCCGATGTTTTTTTAGAATGTTCTGTATTTAGTAGACTACGTTTATTGAGTACATTTAGCTGATTACACTTACTTTTACTCAAGTCAACTTTCAAATGCATGACTTTTACCTGTAACAGAGTATTTTAACAATGTGGTATTAGCACTTTAACTTAAAAGAAGTATATAAATACTTCCCTCACTGCTCAATTCTCAATAAAATATGTTTTACTTTGATCTTTAAATGTTATGATAAAAAACACTACTCTCTTTTGCTAGCTTTTAAGGGTCGTTTCATTTCTTTGAGTTTTAATTGTTATTTTATTCTATGTTGCACCTACGGGACCAGCACAAAGGATATGTTGAAAATCTTGAATCATCTCTAAAACATCGACAGTTTTGACGCAAACTCACCTCGGCTGCGCCAAACCGCAGACACGTCGCCAGCAGCGCGAGCAGCAGCTGTACCCACGAGCTCATCTTGCTGCCCAGCCTCGAGCCACTTTGACGGACCGGGCATTTATGGAAGCGCGAGGGACCCCTCAGCACTGCGCGCGGAGGGACAGCGGCTCGCCCTGCGGAACCGCGTGCGCGTAAACGGTCCGTCCGCACCACTGTTGTCTCTTCAGAAGAAAATATCCGAAGAAGAAGATGAAAGAAGACGAAGAAGCTCCAAAGTACTGATGAATAATAACCTTCCAATTTTTAGTCAAAGTGTTCTTCAGTCTTTTTCTTTTAGTCCACCTTGCACACAAGTCGCAGCTAATTTACTCAAACATTTCCAAGTCACAAACTTCGCCTAGAAAGCAGTCCTTAAGAAAGTATCAATTAATCCAAGGATGCCCAGTTTAAAAAAAATACAATATATCCAACTGACGTCTTTCTTTCCAAAAGTGAGGGTCTTTTTTTAACCGTGATGTGTCCAAAAGTGCAGATCAGAATTGTCAGCACGGTAGTTTGCGGTGCTCTTCTTCCAAGAAGTCTTATCAATAAGAAACGCAGTGTGTGTCTCGGAGCGCCTCAGCCTGCTGGAGCCGCCTGATTACGCAGCGCTGTGGTGGAGCTGAGGGGAAGAGCAGCTCTCCAAGAGTCTCTCTCCCGCCCCCTGTCTGAAGAATGGTCCTCTGCACATAAAGCAGCGACATCAGTCCACAACGAGCTCTTCACACACAGCAGCCACTCTGAGCTCTATTTCCTCTGTCGTGAATCATTTATGCAGATATTCCTGAGGCTGGGCCAATCAGTGGGTTTGTCTGATCTGAAGTCTGTGTCCACCACATGATCTGGTTTTAAATGATAGTATTATTAACTCTGAGGGTTTAAATATATCAACATAGTGTTAGTAGGCTTATGTATGCAGTGGTTGTAAAGTAATGCGGGGTACATTAGGTACTTGATTGTTTTAATTCATTAAACTTTATCTTTGTCTACTCAACTATATTCATTTAATAGTCCTTAGTCTTGTATTACTTCCAGGTTAAGATTTTATATACATGATTTCTTCAATGCAACAGTGCTTAGATTGCTGCAATTTGACACACTACAACTCAAATGCTACTTACTCATAAATGCACCTGTATTAAGGATCTAATAATATAGTTTAACATGTGATAATATAGCACTCAAAGTTATCTTTCTGCATGCCAACTACTTAACAACCACATTCACATTTAATTGTTTGATTTTGAATACAGCGCTTTAACATGTAATGGAATAAACTGTTTATGGTTCACTACAGCGTTATAAACCCAACATACAGTAAACAAAAGCTGCAGTGGTTTTATGCTTTAAATAAACCAAAACGCTGACAAAATAACATCCTAATGACACAGATTTGTAAATAGTATCATGGTTCAGCATCGATCAAGGCTCTGCCAACATTTTAGTTGCTCTATCAGCAGTCAAAATAACATCCTCTTGTTTAAGAGTTATTTTAAAGTGTATAACATATACCACAAATGGACAAATTCTGGTTTAATGGGAAAGTCATGAACAATAACAACAACCCTGTGACGATTGTTAACTTCAAATAACTTTATAAAGATACCAATAATTACATTTTAAAAACTTGCCATGTTCAAGATTCAAAGGTTTTAATGCACATAAGCAACAGTGTAGAAATGACAATTACATTCTTATGAACCGAACTCCTCCAACAATGCAACATAGTTATATAATAAAATACAAATAAAAAATAATGCAAGAAGTCTATATACACGTAAATAGAACATGATATATGTTGCCCTATTTCTCAGTTCAAATTTAAAAATGCATGATCAACTTGCATCCAGTGATTGTACGTAAAACAAAAGATGCCTTAAGCAACACGTATGAACAACCAATGACCCTTAAATCATCGCATTGCATAACAGACCTTTACGCAGCGACTATTGCTGGAGAGGTCACAGGGATAGTTGCCATGCCAACTGACTCCTCTTGTTACCTCAGCATCACGGCTAGCCGGGCTATCAGGAAACAAAAGGTGTTTCTAAATATCACAGGAGTTATTCTCAGAGTCCTGACCTTTTGCCGTCAGTTTAGGGAACATTTATAAACAATGCCTGACGGGCCCCAAAAATAGAATATCAGCACGGCGACCTCGAGGACTCATAATGACACGTGACGGGGAGAAAAGAGCAAGAAAGCTTTTATCATGGGAAAAAAAACACATTTGAAAGTGCAAGAAAGAACAACACTGCTCAAAGAATCCTTACATTGTTTCTGTCTGAAGCGTTTAAACACAGATCCTCACAACTTTTCTCAAACACCGCTGTACTGCAGCATTGAACAATGTCCCGACAGTTAGTAAAGTCTAGTTTCTTCCAGTTCAATCATGGCCCGGTGAATAATAGGATGCCATTGTTTTTCTAACAAGAGTCAATGGAGGAAACAGCATGAGCTACAGAGCTATATTTACACTCTGTTTCATATTCGCACGTTTGGCCAAGGCCACAGGCAGTTCGGGATAACAATTGTGACTTGGGATACCAATGCAACACAGCACAAAGGAAACAGTGGTTAAGTGAACTGGTACCACCTTACAATAAGACTACGAATAGTTTGTAACTGATTTATTAATTAGGTTGTGAACACTTTATAAATCATTAATAAGCTTTTATAAGACATGAGATAAACAGGGCAACTGTGACCGGTTGCTTGCCAAATAGTGAGCCCACATTTATCTGTACTGCTAAGTCTTATATTGGCTACTTCGTCTTCTTCATCAGCCAGCATCCTTGGTATCTGTTGTTCACTGAGTTGATTCGCGCTAAGTAGCCAATATAAGGCTTAGTCATCTTGCCAAATAGTGAGCCCACATTTATCTGTACTGCTAAGTCTTATATTGGCTACTTCGTCTTCTTCATCAGCCAGCATCCTTGGTATCTGTTGTTCACTGAGTTGATTCTCGCTAAGTAGCCAATATAAGGCTTAGTCATCTTGCCAAATAGTGAGCCTGTGTTGATGTATGAAAACTATGTTTGAACTGGTTTATAAATGGTTCTTAATGATTAATAAAGTGTTTACAACCTAATTCATAACCTAATTATCAATCCTTTATAAGGGTAGTCTCATTGTAAAGTGGTACCAGTTAACGTATTGTGTATAAAGATGTATAAATTAGCTTGTGTTGCCAAAGATAATTCCACGTTTTTGAAGTCAAAATAGTTTGAAAACTTTAATTTCTCTTACTAATAATGGACTTTTTTATACTCAGGGTGGTCCAGGCATAAGCTTGACTCGCATCACTAATAATAGGGCTGAATTCAAAGAGATAGTATGGTTGTATTAGAGTGGGTTTGTATGAGGTAATTATACTGTATATATAGTCAGTGTATTACTTACACTAGACGGCTGTAAGCTCACACCCAGACAGGAGTTGGGACATGAAATATTATAGTGCTTTGGAAGAGGCCTCAACCAAATGTATGTTAGTCACATGGAAAAAAGTTCAAATAAAAAGATCAATTTCAGTTCAAGTTTTCGCCATATTTTGAATATTTCTACAGCTTCACCTTGCTGTCAGACAGCCCTTTCCAGCAGGCAACTGAAAACACATCTATGCTCTCTTCAAGGCCACCAGACCCCATTCACAAAAACTTAAATGTTACCCCGAAGAAGACAAGAGCTGCTTCTGTCTCGGTAGATTGTTAGTTGATAGTTAGTCTTTCATGAATCTGAGGAAAACAAAGTCACACAGCAACATAAACTTACACTTATATTGTTTTTTTAAGTAGGCCTGTTGACAAAAACAGTAACTTTATACGGCAGAAGACACGTTGATAATGAACTGCTGTCTCGGTAGATCGGTTAGTGACGTCTGTGTTCGTGTGTTACTTTGGTGAATCCGAAATAACCCAAATCACACAGTGACATAAATGTATAACTTGGTGTAGACCAACTTCTGTTCTCTGGAAAGTTGAACTCAATTTTTTCAGGGTGCTTTAAAAAGAGCATATGGCTCCAGTTCACAGTTGTAAAGGGCTATATGACGGCAAGGTAAAGTGGTGAAAATATTCAAAATATAGCACATATTGTACACCTATATGGATTTCTTAGGTAGGCCTTTTTCCATGCGGTGACAAAATGGGGGTGTGCCGACTAATATTGACTGTTGGTAACACACTTACGATGGATGAGTACCTCATATAACCCGAACTGCACAGAACACCCAACATCTGAAATCATCTCTTTAACTTTTGATTATTATCTTCCTCTCATTTCCTATCCATGTTGCCAGTTTTACCGCCCTGTACATGTCAAAACATATTTTACATTATGCTCAGATTGTGGCTCCTAAAACATGAGTGAGTTTGGTTTATAATGAGAAAGGGAAAAGGAGGAGGAGAAGGAAGAGGAGGAGGGGGAGCAGGTTCATGACTAGAGGTAGGGATTTTCCCACCAGGTCCTCCATTGGTGTGTCGTGTCTCACACACACACACACACACACACACACACACACACACACACACACACACACACACACACACACACACACACACACACACACACACACACACACACACACACACACACACACACACACACACACACACACACACACACACACACACACACACACACACACACACACACACACACACACACACACACCTGTGACTGTTACATCTCAACACAATCCCATAGAGAGAAGTCCATCCATCATTATTTCTACGAGTCGACAACCTAATAAGTATCATCCATCATATGCTCTGTGTACAAACCGACCCGTGTATGCATACATGTATCACTGAAAACCGATCATGTATGTGCACACAACTAGCTACAACACAAATACACAATGAAAGGCTGTATGAAACTGCTAATGAAGAGCATTCAAACACGTTAAAGCGCAGTTGTGTGGAACAGATCACACCCCCCTCAAATATTGGCTCACACACACGCTCACTGTCCAATTTCACCCTGAACGGAGGACAGAGGGCCCTCTATGCGTAACAATTGAGTGAGAAATGACAGCACTCCTTCAAATATTTAAGATCCTTTCAGAAGATCCGGAGAAGGTCACCGCACCCTGAACTAATCTCCTGTCGGACAAAGATGCCATTTCACTGCGTGCGGTTTTTCCATCATTGGCCAAACACTCCAGTGGTTAATTTGACGTAGCGATCGCATAGTTGGGTCCTCTCCACCACGGACGTGAAGGGAAAAACATGAATGTACTGTATTTGTGATGTAGAAAAAGGACCATGGGTGGGTGCACATGAGTTGGGCTGCCGTCACAGGCATCAGAGTTTAAGAGGGGAGGCAAGTGACCCTCGATTAGTCGTGCGGATAGACTCTCTCCAGCGCGTGTCTCTGAGATAATAGAGGATCATGTAGACCAAATGGACTAATGGGAAGTCATTAGTCGGCCCCTCGAGTCCAGAGTATGACCGCTCACCTCGGATCTCAGGTTTCCCAATAGGAATGTGGCTGAATCACATCAAAAGACCAAAACATGGGGTAGATTCAGGTGCAAGGAACCACTGATTTATTATTATTATTCAGCTTAAGCACAACAGAGACTTAATTCTCAATCTGTACGGTCAGTTCTAGCAGTGAAACCGTA